GAGAGAGAAAGACGAGAGAAGCAGAGGAGAGACGAGAGAGTAGAAGAGAAGAGATCGAGGAGAGAGAGAGAGAGAGAGGACGAGAGAGAGAGGAGAGAAGAGAGAGAGAGAGAAAATAGAGAGCAGAGAGAAAGAAGAGAGAGACAGAAGAGAGAGAGAGGAGAAGAGAGATAGCGGAAGAGAAGAAGATGAGAGAGAAGAAAGAAAAGCAAATGCGTGCGCGAGGAGAGAAAAAACGTGACTATCACACTCGACTGTCAATTACGCATATTTACGTGACGTCATCGCTTGTTTGCAGTGTGAAAACAGCAGTGAACCCGCGAACATCCGGAGGTTATAGCGAAGGCTGTGCCTCTCTGGATCATTATCCTGGCTGTGTGGCAGAATTCTCCTGCTAGCATTGCTCATCCTCGTGCTCTGGCAGTACGTGTATACCGCACACGCACGCACGCAACACACAACCCACCGCGCCACACAACACGACACATACACGCACGCACACGCACACGCACACACACACACTCACGCGGCGCGCACACACACACACACACACACACACACACACACACACACACACACGCACTCGTGCACGCGCACTCACACACACACGCTCGCGCACGCATTCACACACGCCGCGCGCACACACGCACGCACGCACGCACGCACGCACGCGCACGCACACACACACACACACACACACACACTTCCCAGCGAGTAAAACCTAGGCCAATTCTCATTTTTACTCTTTCTCTCACTTTACTCTACTCCCAAAGTAATACAAAAAGTTTACCAATTTGTAATTTCTACATATTTTTCTTCTTCTGTTCACTAGCTCGGATTCTTCAAGAGAAAGAAGCACCCGGATGCAGAGAAGGTGGTAGCGAGCAACGGTCCACCAGGCTACAGCAGCGTGCCTGCCAACTACAACTACGGACACACCGACCACGGATCCTACTACACATAATAAACACCCTCCACCGCGCGCATGCGCACGCCGGTCCCCACGTCGCAGCAGCGCGGAGAGATACCGTTAGTGTGCGACGCTCTCGGTAGATGGAGCCACTTCCGTCCGCTCGTTGTGCGGAGGAAAAATTCGTGTTGCAGAGCCATGGATTCAGATCGAGCTATCTAAATCTACATCTATATCTGGCCACAGGTTGAGACAGTGGTATCTAAGTCTATATCTACATCTAGCCATAGACTCAGATATAGCCATCTATCCATGGCTCTGCTTCTGGTCACAGCGGGAGCGCCATCTACAGGATAATTGACCAACTAACGCTGCCTTCCGCTGTTGTCTGTATAGGAGCAGTATTCCGGGGGTGGACGTGAGAGGGATAGTGTGTCTTACCGAGTGTGTCTCGCGCGCAAATAGAACGTATCCGTAAAACAATGCTCGACCAGCCAATTACAGGTGCTGTTCACTGATGGCGCTGCAGTCGGATTTAAACACTGCACGACGGCAGCAGATTCATCCAGTAGACTGGTTCCCTGTCCACGCATTAGAGTAACTCTCGGTCACTGCCGCATACGCACTGGCAAAACGTCGAGGACAGGGAACCAGTCTAATTTATTTAGAGGCCTCCTGGCATGAAATGTGTAGAATGTCTCAAGGTCAAAATTGAGAGAAAAAATTCTCTATAGGAAAGAGAGAGAGAGAGCATAGGAAACTTGTACAGTTTTTACGTGGAAATATTGTAAAATGTTTATTTTTGCTGGTCGTCCGTGTGATCGCTTTATTAGTAACAAACGACTGTATACAGCTAATATACAATTGATATACAACTAATATACAATTACTCACAATTGTGTGCAATTATATATATATATCTCTCAAATTGTATACGGTCTTTGTAAAACTCTTTTCCTAACCATTTTCTTATTGTAATACCCGTGAAATGCAATGTTTAGCTTTAACATCATAGATGCATCTAACAAAGTTTTAAACAAATAGTTTTTTAAAATCTAAATTAGCTTTTTATTACCACCTTCTTTGCATCGCGCTTGACCTTATAGTTGGTTGGTGTAATAACGAAACTTTGCTACGCAAAGCGTAGTTCGATAGTTTAAATATATAACTAAGAACGTTGCTACGCAAGGCATCTACGCGACGAAATGTGCAAAAGAATAATGATGCATTAATGGTGCTGCTGCCAACCGCAAACTTTTGTATTGCTGCAAAAAAAAACATCTACGTTTGTACAGCATATACGATTAGATGATATTTTGTTTTCGTAGTTTCATTGTTTGTTTGTTTGTTTGTTGTTAATTTTGTACAGATTGGAATGAATCCTCGTCACTAATGTCTCGTTATTGTGTCTCTGATTATGTGTGCGATCTATCTGTGTTTCAATTGAAGCGTTAATGTTGTACTGGGTTTACACACAGTATCGGCGCGTGTGCACTGTTGATAAGGTCTTATAAGAAACGTATAGATAGATAGATTGATAGATAGAAAACCTATCCTGTATGTTATGTTTACGATTAATCGATTGATCGATTATTCGATTGATCCGATGGATACCAACTCTACATTTTTACGAGCTCGTGTTAGGGCGTGACACAGTACGACGGAATAAGACGCACGCGCACGTACGGCCGCCAGATGGCGTTCATTGATACCCTACTATTAGCGGAGACGTTAAGACGAGAGACCGGGAAGTGACGTCATAGTAATCAGTGTTTCGGCATCAAACGGTGACGTCACTTTCGGACAGCGACGTCATGAAAATTGCCGAATTACCTTTGATGCTAATGAAAGCTACGGTTACTCTATTTCGTAGTTGTGCCTCCACCACGGCTTGTGTGTGAAGCAATAAACACACCGCGGCCTAACTAGTATCACCAGTTGGTGCGATGCCTCAGAAATAGATGAGGTTAGGGGGAGGTTATCCTATAGATAGTTTTCCGCCTCGGTCTACGGTTCCTGGTGATTTTACGGGCATCGGCGTCATGAATCGCGCGAGATCTCGCGCAAAGTTGTTCTCATGGTCGATCGACTCATGGGTATCTAAATTATGCATTGTATTATATATATATATATAATGTATAAATTAGATACCTATGGACTGATATCACGACGTGAAGTTTCGTACTCATGTTTTTATACCATTGTGAGATTAATGAATGCAACGTGCCACGCTCTTCCAACTAGACTGGTTCCACGTCGCCACCCTTCATTGTTAGAGACAGGCAACGGCTAATACATAGAAGTTTGTGTTTCGTCTAACCATCTCCAAAATTCGATTGAACGCGCGCTACAACTCATGAACAACGTGAATGACATTAACCGTTGCCATGGTCTTAATTGGCTTTGATTGAACTACGTGATTGCACTGTCAACGCAATATAACCATTAAATTGCATTGTCTATAAACGAAATTTATCCATTAAATTGCACTGTTTATTAGCGCAATTTAACCCACCATTAAATTGCATGTTCTATTTACGCAATTTAACTACTTAATTGCGATGTCTGTCTATTAACGAATTGAAGAGACGATGTGAAATCAGTATTTAAATTGACTACGTCACGAATTCTCTATGGTGTATATTTGTAAAAAAAAAATTGCCACATTAAAAGCAAGTACGTACTAACGGGACTAAACGTATCGTTACCCGATAAGATTGTTGCTCAATTAGTTAAAAATCCAAAAAACCTTGACGATTTGATAAATATGATCCTGACATCCATAGCTTGCTACGGGCTATGCATGAGTCACGAGTGTATGTTTACATCGAACAATATAGTTAAATAGGAAGTAGAATGCAGCAATTTAACCATAAAAAGTAAACAGATCGAATTACTTGCATTTTGTGGAAAAGTGGAAATATTTTCTTTACTTTTTGCTATCTACGGTGACGTAATCACTTTAAATCGTTAATCTGGTTGTTTGAAGCAACGTGCCACGACATGCATCCACGGCGTTGAAGAACACTCGTGTAGTGTGTACAATGACTATATAGACATAGAGAACTCAGACTTATACACACCGAGAGACTATTGTTAGTTCAAAGTAAAAGTACATTGCGTGTAATTTATGATATTTATATAATGCTAGATAATTAATGAAGGAATAAACAGTTTTTGGAGTACGTATATATTTACATATCTAGTTCGTATTTCGTTTAATTACAAAGCTAATGCAAAACTACAATTGTTATTTATATCTGCTGCAAAACTATCTATAAATATTGCAAAACATGACATGGGGCCAAGGTAATGGGTCTGACGTGCTTCGGCTGTGCGTCGCACATGAAAGCAATATGTATATAAATGTATATACATGCAGTGTATATACATACAATGTACATACATTTGCGTATATACATAAATCTATATACATGCAATGTATAGGTATACATAAATGTATCTACATACAATCAAGAGCGTATTAAGAATTACTAATACGCTCTTGATACAATGTATATAATTATTGCGCTCAGTGTGGTACAAACTATCAGTAGTAGCATTGTATTCCTGTCGAATCATTCATTCATTCAACACCCGGGTGATACTCCATTAGGAGTGTTTCCAACTTTAATGTCATTAATGGTCATATATATATATATATATATATATATATATATATATATATATATATATATATATATATATATATAGATATATATATATATATATCATGGTCATATATTAGTTTGTGGTTTAATTTCCTTTAGGTTAGGGTTACTTAGGGTTAGGGTTAGGATTATCAATCATTAATCATTAATCATTAATAATTAATCATATCAAAGTTGGGAACACTCCTATTGGAGCGTTAGCCGAACACCCCCTACACATACAGTTGACAGGACAGCCAGACAGATAGCCCCACATAACGTACATGAAGGAGCCTACATGAATAAAGAATAGTACACGTAATACTACGGTCTTATCCTAACTGTAGCGGCACATATTTATCGAGGCTAGGGGGCGCCCCTATATCATTTGGATGACTTTGGCATGCCTTATGCCCGGCGCACACGTGAGTTATTTTACTCAAGTAAAATAACTCACGTGTGCGGCGGATTTTCGTTGAGTAATTTGACGCATGCGTCATTTTACTCACGTGTGCGGCGGATTTTCGTTGAGTAATTTGACTCATGCGTCATTTTACTTGAGTAAAATAACTCACGTGTGCGCCGGGCTTTACTCATTGTGTTCATTCACTTTCTCTATATCATCATAATATAATATTCTTAACTCATTTTCCTACCTCATTTGCATCAACAGTTTGTAAGAATTACCGCAGACAGTTACTCTAGTCACTTTGACATGTTATACGTATTGCTATTAGCATTAAGCGTTATTCGTTTAGCAAGTCGTTTCTGTAGCGTTAAGCAAATTCGTTAATATTATCCTACTTTTACCAATATTTCTTCATAAAACTGTACTAAAGTGTCATTGCAATTATTTTAGCATGTGATAACTATGATATCCGCATTCATAGCGTAACTGTTATTGTTATGCATTATTATTCTTCGTCATATCTGGTTGGTTTCATCTTAATTTTGCCATACTTGTATACCCACGCACGCACACACACGCTTTCTGTATGTAGTAGCATTTGATGACAATGTATCAATATTCATATAATTTGTTATGTCATCAATCATCAATCAATCAATTCACATTGGTATCGTCTTACATTGACCATACTCACGACCAAGTCGTGACAATTAATTCAGCATACTGCACTCTGACACCATTACCTTTATTGCAACAAGCAGCATATACACCATCATATATTTCAAATAAACATAATATTTGTACAAGCAGGGGTATACACAAACGTTTTCTGCATATTCGGCTTTGGCAATGTCATAGCTAACGGCAACAAACAACTAGACGATTATTATAAACTATAATAATTATTAATATAGTATATGATTATATATATATCATTCTATTATATAATAGTTATGAGCTAATCGATACATGATAATGTATTGGCTAATACGCGCGTCCTACCTTGTTAGCAGTTTGCTCTGCAGTAGCACATCACAGGATGTCTTCTTCGTTGTCAGTGTGGTCGAGGAGAAGGCTGGACACCGCATCCACCATCATCAGCATCAGTATTCTTCTTAGGCTCCTTCCGTCGGTTGTCATGGCGACTGATACACAACGTGGTATTCGGTCTAGCAATGAGTGTGTGTACGTGTACGTGTGTGTGTGTACGTGTGCGTGTGCGTGTGTGTGGGTGTGTGTGCGTGCGTGCGCGCGCCCCCGTGTGCGTGCGTAGACGTTATAAATAACCAGAAGTTCAGAACCCGCAACACAGTGACTCATTTATTTCACTTCGATGACAAATATTCCTTACCTTCTCATTGCCAGTAGTGAACATATTTCTGCGTACGATGGCGCTGCTAGATCATTCCTGGCCAAAACACACCGACAGTTAACAAACTTACATAGTGATCGTATCATGGTATACATCGACATACATTTGGCCACGTTGTTTGCCTTCGCTAACACTCATTAATAGGTTGTTTTAGACGTACCGTCAGCAGAAAATTGTACGTAGTCGCAATATAATACAGAATTCAACGCTTTCGTATCGCTGGAGCACTTAGTATTGGGTTCACTTTCGCATCTATATCGCACACACGTTTCACGGTTCAAGAAGCGAAAGCAGTTTATAGGTTATATTCGCTATTCTTTTTTCGGAGAATAAGAAAGTGGATTTTCCATCGTCGGAATCGATGTAATCGACAGTTTTGCAGAATCTCTTTATAGCTACGAGGATGTCTTTAATTACTGGTTGTTATGCTGGACTATGTTATAACGGAGAAACTATTAGAAGACGTCGGTGATTGGCGGTATTGTCCGCAGGCATGTTGTGTAGGTAGTAGTGGCGCAGAAGACAAACGAATACACAGTAACATCGACTGCGAGCGATTATCATAGCGGAAAATCTGACATACGCTATATATATGTACACGCACGCGCACGCGCACACGCACGCACGCATGCACGCACGCACGCACGCACACGCGCACGCGCATGTGTGTGTGTGTGTGTGTGTGTACATACTCATGTATGCACGCACGCACGCACATACTCAGGTACGCACGCGCGCACATATCATTTGTAAATAAGTTTGTATGGTGAGCGCACAAACTACTATCGCCACCTAGCGAGCGTGCGGTATATTTGTAGATACACGAACTGGCATTTAGGTGTTATATTGCATTTTCAGTCTATTATTGCTCTCTGTTTGGCATGCCATGGCGTGGCAAATACGAACAGCGACAATAAATAATAACTACATCATACTTCAACATATTTAATATAACAGAGGTTCCAGTAGTCTCACTTGTGCAAAGTTAGCCAGCCACAAGTTACCTTATCGCTTCTCACTTCGCATGGCGGGAAGGTAAAGCGGGAAACTACGGGAACCGACGAGAACGCGAACCTGAAATATGACACAAATACCACGGTGTGTGACAGTTCGTCACGGTGGTGAGTACGCGTAGCGAATACTAGTATTGTACAGTGTGATGACTTTGGGTTCTCGTAGGTCGACAGCGTAGAAGGTAGCAGCGTTGATAGCAGAGATAACCAGTAGACGTAGACGTAGTCCCAGATTAGTTGTTTCACATGGACTTTTATTAGTAACTACACGTACAAAATATATACATACGGCAAGCTAGGTGGGTGACCGTGCCTAGGTCCCGTCGTCTCTGTTTTCGTCTATCTCTCTACATCGTCGTATCTCCTCTCGGTAATGACTCCTTTCTGTCTGTCCGAGCGTGTCTATTTATATGATTCCCAAAAATCCCCGGCGACTTTTGAATCCAACCGGTTCTTCGCCGCGGGGCTAGGAGACGCGTGAAGCTACGCATATATCTAAGACCGTACATACCGCGTCATTACCAAAACAACAACGAACCACCAGGCCAGAACACAGGCCAACTAGTTCCACTGCCTCGTCTGGCTAGAGCGCTCCTGGTTCATTACGCGCCGTGTACCATACAACAATTCTTCCTTCTCTCTCGACAGAATTCGTGTCCTCGCAAAAAAATACAGTTATGCATTAAAAAACATTAAAGCTTAAAAGTTGAAAACATTAGTCCAAGTTTGCAAACATCAAACAGTGTCATAATACATGTTAGTAGGTGTGCACTATGCTGTAATTTTACAAGCCCGGCACCGACCGCGTTTACGTGTGATGGCGATGGTAAATCCTTGGGGTAGAGAAGGGATGGAAAGTCCGTTTTTGAAACGAGTTGAGGGGGATTTTGTTGCAGCTGTCTAGTGAAAATGTGCGCACATTTCCGTATCACAGGGGGGTTTTGACAAACCGCATCGGTAACACAACTCGAATCGGCATGGAAAGGCATAGGGAAGAATGGCGAAACAAGGATACATCTTACCACTTAAATCACGTTAGTAATCGGTTAATCGAAGGAAACAATATACAAACAAACAAACGACGAAACATAAAATACAGATAGGACCGGCTATAAGCTATATCGTAAACACATATCCATAGCCAACTCTTTGTTTATAAAAAATTTTGAATTCGTGGTTTTGCTGTCGTGGTATCGACCCAATGGTATATCGGCAATCGTGACTCGGAAATGACGCGACGCGTGACGAAATCGGCTCGTTCGTCACCTTTATACGTACTATGGTAAGTTTAGTGCAGTAGTATGCCTCTGTTGGCAGGGACGCTAATTTCAGCTTACCCTATTGGCCACGTTCGAGGTCATACTTTGAAGCGGCTGGGCGTCTCGCCCCTCTCATCGCATAGGCTTCTACTACTTATATACTTTCGACGCTTGAGTCACCGTACGCCGTTACCATAATATTCGAATACCACGCTAGCTACGAAAACTCGCGCGCTGATCGGCACTTCGTGAGCTATTTTACTGTTAATAAATTATTTCCGAATTTGTGGCTATGTATACAGTGAAATTACGATGTAGCTTATCCTATCGTCGACGTGTTAGTCTACTTCTTCTGCTGCTCCTCGATCTTGCTCTGCGCGGGCTCTGGATCGAGGCTGTCGAGCTTGGATGACATGACAACATGGCTGCTGCCTTGTAGGTTGCAAGAGGCTCCGGTTGTCGGGTGCGAAGATGGCATGTTCGAACAGGACTTACGCATCTTCTTCCTCTTTCCTCCTTCTTCTTCTTCTGCTCATCTGCTGTTAGCTTTTCCTTCTCTATCGCCTCCGTCTGCTTCTCCCTCTTCCGTTGGACGATTGGAAGGCCAGGTTCTCTTCTCGTCTTCTTCCTCTTCTTCTTCTTCTTCTTCTTCTTCTTCTTCTTCTTCAGCTGGGGGATTAGCTTGGTAGAGGTAGCGAATGCAGAACGACCATGATCCTCCACCAATCATTGTACTGCGAAATGTCGAGAACTTCGGTTCTCGTGGTTCGACGGCGTAGAAGGTGGCAGCGTTGATAGCAGAGATAACCAGTAGACGTAGACGTAGTCACAGATTAGTTATTTCACATGGACTTTTATTAGTAACTACACGTACAAAATATATACATACGGCAACCTAGGTGGGTGACCGTGCCTAGGTCCCATCTACATCGTGTATCTCTCTACATCGTCGTATCTCCTCTCGGTAATGACTCCTTTCTGTCTGTCCGAGCGTGTCTATTTATATGATTCCCAAAAATCCCCGGCGACTTTTGAATCCAACCGGTTCTTCGCCGCGGGGCTAGGAGACGCGTGCAGCCACGCATATATCTAAGACCGTACATACCGCGTCATTACCAAAACAACAACGAACCACCAGGCCAGAACACAGGCCAACTAGTTCCACTGCCTCATCTGGCTAGAGCGCTCCTGGTTAATTACAGTGTACCATACAACACTAGCCCTAGACACCATACTTCACTGCAGAGGTCCCCGTAGCTTACAACCAGGTGCTAAGTTAGCCACAAGTTACCTTATCGCTTCTCACTTCGCATGGCGGAAAGGTAAACCGCGAAACTTTACGTGAACCAGAGCAGAATCGTAGAGCCTGGTCCGGGTTCAAGGATAGAGAGCATGTCCAGTAATAAACATCCTCGATCTCCTATTGTCGAGATTTCAGGGGGGGGGGGTGATGTCATACAACCAGAGACCAGTTCAACAGCAACAGAGATAGAAAGTTCCCCTAGCGACAGGTAGAAAGTTTTCCCCAACGACACAGACAAGCGCGGGAGAGGGGGTACCATAGCTACCCGATGTGGGAGGTAAGGGAGCTGCGCCACCATGTACACGGGCGAGGCGAGGGAGTTGCGCCTACACGTGTGCACGTACACGTGCGCGCATGAGTGTGTGCGTGCGTGTGCAAGTATACACGTGTGTTATTTATGATCTCTGTGATTCTTGAGTTTATTGAA